TCCCTCTCCCCAGCCACCTCCTCCAGTTTATCCGGGGGAACACCAAGGCATTCCCAGGCCAGCCGAGAGATATAATCTCTCCAGCGTGTCCTGGGTCTGCCCCGGGGCCTCCTCCTGGTGGGACATGCCTGGAACACCTCACCCAGGCGGCGCCCAGGGGGCATCCTTGTCAGATGCCCGAACCACCTCAGCTGGCTCCTTTCGATGTAGAGCAATAGCTGCTCTACTCTGAGCCCCTCCCGGATGGCCGAACTTCTCACCCTATCTCTAAGGGAGAGGCCAGCCACCCTTCAGAGGAAGCTCATTTCTGCCGCTTGTATCCGCGATCTCGTTCTTTCGGTCACTACCCACAGCTCGTGGCCATAGGTGAGGGTAGGGCCGTAGATTGAGAGCTTTGCTTTTACACTCAGCTTTCTCTTCACCACGACGGACCGGTGCAGCGTCTGCATTACTGCAGCTGCAGCCCCAATCCGTCTGTCGATCTCCGGCTCCCTTCTCCCATCACTCGCAAACAAGACCCCGAGATACTTGAACTCCTCCCACTTGGGGCAGAAACTCATCCCCGACCCGGAGTGGGCACTCCATCCTTTTCCAGCTGAGAACCATGGCCTCAGATTTGGAGGTGCTGATCCTCATTCCCGCTGCTTCACACTTGGCTGCGAACCGTTCCAGTGCGAGCTGGAGGCCCTCACCCGATGAAGCCAACAGAACCACATCATCCGCAAAAATCAGAGATGAGATTCTGAGGCCACCAAAGCGAAAGCCCTCCGCCACTTGGCTGCGCCTAGAAATCCTGTCCATAAAAATTATGAACAGAACCGGAGACAAAGGGCAGCCCTGGCGGAGCCCACCGGGAACGAGTCCGACTTATTGCGGCCAATGTGAACCAAGCTCTTGCGACGGTTGTATAGGGATCGAATGGCCCGTAGCAATGGGCCAGACACCCTATACTCCCGCAACACCTCCCACAGGACACCTCCAGGGACACGGTCGAATGCCTTCTCCAAGTCCACAAAACACATGTAGACTCCCATGCACCCTCAAGTGTCCTCGAGAGGATAAAGAGCTGGTCCAGTGTTCCGCGACCAGGACGAAAACCGCATTGTTCCTCCTCTGAGGTTCGACTAGCGGACTAACTCTCCTTTCCAGCACCCTGGCATAGACTTTCCCAGGTAGGCTGAGGAGTGTGATCCCCCTGTAGTTGGAACACACCCTCCGGTCCCCCTTCTTAAAGATGGGGACCACCACCCCGGTCTGCCAGTCCACAGATACTGCCCCTGATCTCCACGCAACATTGCAGAGGCGTGTCAACCAGGACAGCCCTACAACGTCCAGAGCCTTCAGGAACTCGGGGCGGACCTCATCAATACCAGGGGCTCTGCCACCAAGGAGTTGTTTAACTGCCTCAGTGACTTGGCCCCCGGAAATTGGCGGGTCATTTCCCTCATCCCCAGACTCTGCTTCCTCCTCGGAAGACGTGTCAGTGGGATTAAGGAGGTCCTCGAAGTATTCCTTCCACCGCCTGACAATTTTCTCAGTCGACGTCAGCAGCGCTCCGCCAGCACTATACACAGTGCAGGTAGAGCACCGCTTTCCCCTCCTGAGACGCCTGACGGTTTGCCAGAATCTCTTCGAGGCAGTCCGAAAGTCTTTTTCCATGGCCTCTCTGCACTCCTCCCACACCCGAGTTTTTGTTTCAGCCACTGCCCGAGCCGCATTCCGCTTGGCCCGTCGATACCTGTCGGCTGCCTCCGGAGTCCCACAGGCTAACCAAGCCCGATAGGACTCTTTCTTCAGCCTGGTGGCTCCCTTCATCTCTGGTGTCCACCATTTGGTTTGGGGATTACCACCAAGGCAGGCACCAACCACCTTGTGGCCGCACCTCAATGCAGCAGCTTCGGCAATGGAGACGCTGAATGTGGTTCATTCAGACTCAATGTCCCCAGTCTCCCTCGGAATGCTGTTGAAGCTCTGCTGGAGGTGTGCGTTGAAGATCTCGCGGACTGGGACCTCTGCTAGACGTTCCCAGCACACCCTCACTACGCGTTTAGGTGCACCGGGTCTGTCCAGTGTCCTCCCCCGCCACCTGATCCAACTCACCACCAGGTGGTGATCAGTTGACAGGTCTGGTGATACGATTACAAAATCGATCATCGACCTACGGCCTAGAGCCTCCTGGTGCCACGTGCACTTATGGACACTCTTATGTTCGAATAGGGTGTTTGTTATGGCCAAACTGTGATTAGCACAGAAGTCCAATAACAAAGCACCGCTCGGGTTCAGATCAGGGAGGCCGTTCCTCCCAATCACGCCCCTCCAGGTCTCGCTGTCGTTACCCACGTGAGCATTGAAGTCTCCCAGCAGGACAACAGAGTCTCCAGGTGGAGCACCTTCCAGCAGCTTATTATCCAGGAGAGCCTGTGAAAGTACTTCCAGTCATGTCAATGCTGACAATAAACTTTTAATTCTTGCTCATCTTGTGCTGACGAAACATTAACAAGAACTGAAGTTGTTGTTTTCATGTGTTTGTAGGGGTCGTTCTTCTGGTGCAATCCAGATGTGTATCGCTAAGCATAAGTTCAGCATGTGACCCACCAGCCATTAATTAATTATAAATCAACTTAATCAGTTCTGACAATGAGTCATTGGTCCTAATTAGGCTAAATCAAAATTGTGGAATCACTTGGTTGTATATTATTTTATAACCTTGCAAGCAAAGTTTGTATTCAGTTTATTTGTCACCACAATCAGCATCCTACTGCTACTACTAGGATACCTCGTGTGGGCAGATGTGGGATAATCTGGGTTTTTATAATTATTTCACTGGTCAGCATTTCTTTCAGAAGTTGCCTCTGAAATTAAATGTGCCATTTCTTATGGATTTTTTTATGCTGAATGCACATATGACAAACACGGTAAACAAAATATTTAATTTTTAAGAATTGTAAGAAGGTCTTTATATAACATGCCCGATTCACAACCGTTCATAGAAGCACTTTTTATACATGTAATTGATTTGTACCTAACATTCACACACATTCATACTCTGATGACTGCAGTGCAGAGCAGCTTGGCGTTCAGTGTCTTGCCCAAGGATATTTTGGCATGCAGACTGGAGCATTGAACCATATACGTTCCAATTAGCAGATGACCTGCTCTACCTCTTGAACTAAAGCCACTTAATCTTATCTATTTATGATTGCTTCAAATTTCAACACATAACAGGTTAAAAATCAGACAAAAAAGAAAATTAATGTGGACTTAGCTCACTATTTTTTAGTGATTTGTTTATTTTTTTTATTTTATTTTTTTGCCAAAATTCAAGTGTTTAAGTGTATTTTAGTCATTTCTGGTTTAAACTTTTGGTCTTACACCTAACATATAAGCAAATCATAGAAACAGCCAAAATTATAAGCATCTTCAGAATCAGTGAACCATAACGAGTAAAAGCATCCTGGCTGTGGACAAGTAAGAGATGTTTCACTTTTTAAATAGCTAAACTGTTTGTCTAGAAATAAATATTTTTTTGTAGAAAGCAAGGATGCTTCATTTTAATATCCACAACTCAGAAAAAACTGCCAAAACAAACCAATATTTTTTATGTAATTTGTTAAAATGAGAAACAGATTGGCCCAAAAAATGTAAGACATGTCAACATGATCAAAACAAGATATTAAGAAAAAGGCTGTTTGATTTTGATGTCTGTTGTGTGTCTAAGTGAGGTGGCTGGAGGATCTGCTTTGGTCAATGGAGAGAAATGACCTTCAAAAGAGAGCTCAGATGTATCAACACAGAAAGCAGAAAGGTAACGAAATGCACCGCTGCATTATTTCTGTCTTCATGACATGTTTTCTTTTAAAAGTCTAAATTGCATAGCAGTATATAATGGAGTTTCATGAAATATGCTTAACAACAGTGAGATTCAAGCATTGTATGTTAACATACATTAATTCCATCAAACCTCAGCAACAGCAGTGCTGGACTGTTTGAGAGTGAATGTGTATCAAATCCATGATATTTAAAGACAATATTGAATATTTATAGTTTCACCTTGTTCACTTGCTGCATATTTATGGTCAGCATGTTTTGCTCTGACAACCGATGTGACAGAAAAACTAAGTGCGGCCCGTGTCGACCTGTTCGCTCACCTATCCATGAATATTTATGAGAAGTCGACACACCAACAAGATTTTATTATTTTATTGTTCAGTGTGACCGGGGTCACATCTGTGTGTAGCATTGCCAAGTTTGATATTTTGCACCTCGCAATGTAATATGATACCCTGCAGCTAATATTAAACATTTGTAAATAATGTATCTATATTTGAAATTTATGGTTGTGATCAAAGCCATTTGCTTTTTGTTCAGTTTGATGTTTTGCATTTGTTTCATTTACACGACCCAGTGTTGATCAATACAGGGTTGTGGAAATTGCAGAATCAGTCATCATCAGTGACTGGCTGATTGGGTTGTCCCTGCTATACAGAAGCCTATTTTGCATGAATCAACCAGAAGTCTCATCTATTGTCCAAGATGCACATACACAATACAGTTATGTTTTGTATCTAAAAGTAGCACAGCAAATTCAATGAGTACATTATGTACTGGATACAATATAGAGATTCACTGTATTCACTGAACACAATATGAAATGAATTCTTTCATTATAATATTGTGCGTCGTTTACAGTCTGGTATAATTAAACCATTACTTCTTAACTTTGTGAAACAATATTTTTTAACATATAACTACAAAATGAAAGTACTGAATCATTGTTTTCTTTAACAAGGAAAAAATATTAATTATTATTTTATTCACCAAATTATTTGCACTCGTTTTATTTTAGCTTGGGAGACTCTGCTACATTTTCCTGCTATCGACAATCAGAGCAGTTTCTGTGCTCTCTTCTGATCTCCTGTTTTCCTTTTGGTTATAGGTAGGTTATACACCTGCGACGCATCGGACGTCATCAGTGAGCGCTTTTAGGGAGCAGAGTCACAGACGTCTGGTGTCGGAGTATTATCGCTGTCACAAGTGGTAACGAGTTAGCACAGGCTGCATCTGTTGATTTTACGCTGTGGAGCTGTATGTTTTAAAGGATCCACGTTTCGCCTACTTTTCTTTGTCTTAGCCTGTTCCATCGCCTGCCCGCCTACCTAGGATTTTGTGTTGGCTATTCTGGATCCGCGACGGAGTGCTACGTACCATCAGGCGGCGATCACCGCAGCGGCTGTGGTTTGGGTGGTCAAGTAAGCTCTCCAACTCTCTCCGTCCACTTGTGTTTAACGTTCGGCTATCAACGGTATGCCATAAACCCTGTTTTGTTCCCTGTTGTCAGGTAGCTCCGGTGCGTCTGCTACCTACCTGTATGCTTCGGCTCCATCTCATCGCCTCGGTGTTTTCCTGCTGGCACATTTTTATTTATCACTGTATATAGCCCCTTTGCCTTGTAAATATTCCCCCTTACTCGTGTATATATAAAACTTGCATCACCAACTATTCTGCGTCCGTGTGTGTTTCTGCCACGTAATCCATCTGTGTAATCCAGCTAACCCAACAGAATACTCCGACCATTTTTGATGGATTCGGCAGAACACACAGGTCCCGCGTCCGGCGATTTACTCCAGAAACACGAGGAGGCTTTGTCTAGTTTGTCTCGGCAGTTGGCGGCGTCCGAGCAATGGGCAGGCCGAGTTAATGAGACCCTGTCGGCCATTCAAGAGACTTTGGCTCGGCTAGTTCCTCCTACTGCTCCCGTTGTTCCTGCTCCCCCGCCCGTACCGTCTGCCTCACTGAGTGTGGGCTCTGTTCGTGACCCCGCTCCCCCGGCTCTGGTGCCTTTTACAGGAGAGTTGGGCCGTTGCGGGGGTTTTTTGATTCAGGTTTCTTTGCTTTTTCAGCGTTATCCCCAAGCGTTTTCCAATGATGCTGTTAAGATTTCTCATGTTATCGGTGCCCTTCGTGATCGTGCTTTGGACTGGGCCGAGGCTTATCTCGCTTTGCATCCTGTGGAGACTGTCACGTATGAGCAGTTTGTTCAGGATTTTAAGGCGGTTTTTCACCACCCCCTGCGCTCGGATGAGGCCGCGCGGCAACTGCACGGGCTCCGCCAAGGGGGCCGGTCGGTGGCGGAGTTTTCTATTGATTTCCGGGTTAAGGCCGCGGAGACGGGGTGGGGTGAGGACGCGTTGCGCGGGGCTTTCGTCATTGGATTGGACGATCGCATGAAGGATGAGCTCGCCACTCGTGACGAACCGGAGAGTTTCGAGGCTCTAGTTAATCTGGCTATTCGTATCGATAATCGCCTTCGCGAGCGTGAGAGGGAGAGGGGTGGCCGGGTCTGTGCTGGAAGTGCTGAGCGCGCCGAGGTGCGCACAATATTCCGTCCTCCTCCTCCCGGTCCGGCCCGCGCACGGTCTCCTCCGGCGTCCGCCGCTGAGGAGCCTGTGCAGTTGGGTCATACACGGCTGACGCTGGAGGAGCGTCGGAGGCGGTTTGAGGGACGGTTGTGTTTGTATTGTGGCCAGTCGGGCCATTTTGTGTCCACCTGCCCGTTGCGGTCAAAAGGCGGTGCCCACCAGTAACTGTGGGGGTACTGGTGGGTGGCACTTCCTTTCTTTCCCAAATTCCCCGCATGCAACTTCCTGCTGTCGTGAATGCCGCGTCTGGCGCTTTCTCTACTAACGCGCTTTTGGATTCTGGCGCTGAGCAGAATTTTATTGACGGCGGTCTCACGAGGCGCCTCGGGATTAAGATTATACCCTTGCGGGTTCCCGTCTCTGTTGTGGCTCTCACCGGTCAGTTACTGCCCTCCGTCACTCATGAGACTGAACCGGTTTCGTTGATTCTTTCTGGTAATCATCGTGAGGTTCTTCGTTTTTTTGTTTTTTTCTCCCCGGAGTCTCCCATCGTTTTAGGTTATCCGTGGTTCGAACGTCATAATCCTCATATCAATTGGTCCTCCCGTCGCATTGAGAGTTGGAGTAGCCACTGCTTGTCTCACTGTTTACAGTCTGCTCTTCCGCCTTCGCCTGTCTGCTCGTCTAAACTGGCGCCCGAGGAGGTGGATCTTTCGTCTGTACCCGAACAATATCATGATCTGTCGGCGGTTTTCAGTAAACGCTGTGCGCTCTCGCTTCCCCCCCATCGCCCTTATGATTGTGGCATTGAACTGTTACCTGGAGCTCCTTTGCCCACCAGCCGGCTGTATAACCTCTCTGGTCCAGAGAAGGCAGCCATGGAGAGGTATATTACGGAGTCACTGGAGGCGGGCCTGATTCGTCCATCATCTTCGCCGTTGGCGGAGGGTTTTTTCTTTGTGGATAAGAAAGATGGATCTCTCCGACCCTGCATTGATTTTCGGGGTCTTAATGACATTACTGTGAAGAACAAATATCCTCTTCCCCTGATCTCTTCTGCTTTTTAACCTTTACAGGACGCGGTCATTTTTACGAAGCTGGACCTTCGCAATGCGTACCATCTGGTGCGCATGCGCCAGGGAGATGAGTGGAAGACGGCCTTTAACACTCACCGTGGACATTACGAATACTTGGTAATGCCTTTTGGTCTGACGAATGCGCCGGCAGTGTTTCAGGCGTTGATTAATGATGTGCTTCGGGACTTTTTGAATCGGTGTGTGTTCGTTTATTTGGATGACATCCTTGTTTTTTCGCGGTCGTTTGAGGACCATGTTCAGCAGGTGCGCAGCGTTTTGCAGCGCCTCCTGGAAAACAAACTTTTTGTGAAAGCGGAGAAGTGCGAGTTTCATGCTCATTCTGTGTCATTCCTGGGCTATGTCTTTGCTAAGGGGTGGGTGGGGCCGGATCCTGGCAAAATCAGGGCGATTGCTGATTGGCCGACTCCTTCCTCGCTCAAGTTTTCTGTTGGTCTCCTGAGGCCGAGCAGGCGTTTGCTCGGTTGAAGGAGTTGTTTTGTTCCGCGCCCGTTCTCGCCCACCCGGATGGTGCCAGACAGTTTGTGGTGGAGGTGGATGCTTCTGATGTGGGTGCGGGGGCGGTGTTGTCGCAGCGCTCGCCCGATGATGGCCGTCTCCATCCGTGCGCATTTTTTTCGCGGCGGTTTTCTCCGGCTGAGCGGAACTATGACGTGGGTAATCGTGAGCTGCTGGCGGTTAAGCTGGCTTTGGAGGAGTGGCGTCACTGGTTGGAGGGGGCGGAACAGCCGTTTGTGGTTTGGACGGACCATAGGAACCTCTCTTATATTCGGAGTGCGAAGCGGCTTAACTAAAGGCAGGCCAGGTGGCAGCTGTTTTTTAGCCGGTTCCATTTTACAATCTCGTTTCGCCCGGGTTCTCGCAATGTTAAGCCGGACGCTTTGTCCCGTCAGTTTTCCCCCGCGTCTGAGTCTACGGGGGTGGTTCCGATCATCCCCTCGTCTTGCGTGGTGGGGGCCGTGACATGGGAGATCGAGAGCTTGGTGCGCCAGGCACAGCGGCAGGATCCGGACCCGGGTTCGGGCCCGCAGGGTAAACTGTTTGTTCCGGCGGCCGTGCGCGCGCGTGTCTTGCACTGGGCGCACGCGTCTCGTTTTGCTTGTCATCCTGGCGTGCGTCATACGGTTTCCCTGCTACGGCGCTCCTTTTGGTGGCCCGCTTTGGCGAGGGATGCCCGCGAGTATGTGCTGGCCTGTGACACTTGTGCGCGCAATAAGAGCCGTCACCTGCCCCCCCCCCGGGTTGCTGCATCCCCTGCCTGTCCCTGGTCGACCTTGGTCCCAACCAAGGTCGACCAGGGACCAACTAACCTTTAGTGTTGGGTTGGACCAACTAACCCAACACTAAAGGCATTTTGTCATAAGCCAAAGATGTGGACAAATCAACATATTGACCTGATGGAGCTAAATAAAAAGTTGGGGGATCCAGGCCTTTGCAATTCTTTCTCTGGGTGACATTACAGTTTTTTTCAGTCGCTAACAAGCGTTTGTCCAAACAGTTGTCACATTTGCAAAACTCTAAACACAATTAGCACAGCATCGGTCTGTTGTGGCCATACCATTCACACATTTCATGTCGTGTTCACCCAATATGCAGTCAGTGAACACATTTCCACAATGCTTACATTTTCTTAACAGACAAGCTATACCTCCCAACAAAATTATGGACTGTTTTTGTAGTATGTACGAATGTTAACACACAACATCCCACAATAGCAAAAACAATATTCTAAACCTTAGATACAGTATAAAAACCTCTGCTTCTGCAATGATATCAGTACAAAACCAATATCAATATCAAAAATATATCTCAGCTGATAATAAACAAACAATTGAATAATTGACACACAGCTGATTTATGTTGGGTAAATTGGGCCAACCACAGCTTCTTCCATTCTGGCTTAGACTCAGTGGGGTTTATAAGGCAAGACCTTGAGGAGTGATGTTTTTGGAAACAAAAAAAAGACAAACACTGTAATGTCTGGTCGAGGAAGAGTAAGAGCAAGGGGCCCAGGGAGAAGAGCAGGCCCAAGGAGAGGGCAAGGTAGAGGTGTAAGAATGCGTGGTGGTGGCATTCCAAGGGCTGCAAGAACAGTAGTCAGTGATGAAATTCGTGCCACTATCATTGACCATGTAATCAACCATGGTCTTTTACTAAGAGAGGCTGGTGAAAGAGTGCAGCCCAATTTGAGGCGGTCAACGGTTGCCTCCATTATACGCATCTTTCAACAAACCAACAGGTAAGTATTGCATTTTACATGGATTGTTTCTATTCTCACTTGACATGTCAATATGGTCATACAGTAATGCATATGTTGAATTTTTTGTCTTTCTAAAGAATGCAACGTCTTCCACCCTCTGGGGGAAGAGAAAAGCTCCTCAGTAATGATCAGGAGCTTGCCATTGTAGAAATGGTTACTGCAAATAATGCAATAAAACTGCGTGAAATTCAAACTAGAATTGTGGCGGACCATAAGATATTTGACAATATCGATAGAATCAGCCTCACAACCATTACGCGGACATTGTCCAAACACAGAGTGCGGATGAAGCAGCTCTACACTGTTCCCTTTGAGAGGAACAGTGAGAGGGTCAAGGAGCTACGACGACAATATGTCCAGGTATAGTGTATATTCAATCCAATGTCCAGTTCTATAAGCTTTGCACTTTGCAAGTAGGTAACCTACACAATACTAGGTTACAGTACAGTATGGTATACAGTAATAACATGACTTACATAAACTTTGTTTCAGAGAGTTATGGAATTGGAGGCCAACCAGGCCCCTCATGAATTCATATACATCGATGAGGCAGGATTCAATCTGGCCAAAAGGCGTCGACGTGGACGAAATGTAATTGGAAAAAGGGCCACAGTTGATGTGCCAGGACAGAGAGGGGCAAACATTACCATGTGTGCAGCAATTGCAAATGCAGGATTACTCCTTCACAGATGTCAGGTTGGACCCTATAATACAGAGCGCTTGCTTGCCTTTCTCAATGATCTCCACCAGCGCCTGGTTCCAGAGCAGGGTCAGGAGGGTGAAAACATGAGGACCTTTGTAATTACCTGGGACAATGTGGCTTTCCATCACTCGCAAGCAATAACAACATGGTTTGAAGTCCACCCAAGACTGGTAAGTCTCTTCCTTCCACCCTATTCACCTTTCCTCAACCCCATAGAGGAGTTTTTTTCTGCATGGAGGTGGAAGGTTTATGACCATCAGCCACATGACCAGATGTCCCTCCTTGAAGCCATGGATGCTGGCTCCAGGGACATCACAGTTGACGATTGCCAAGGGTGGATCCGACATACCAGGCGGTTTTATCCCAGGTGCATCGACTTGGATAACATCAGATGTGATGTTGATGAAAACATGTGGCCTAACCCTGAAGATCGCAGAGATTAGATGCAAATTTTTTGCCTTTTTTTAGCCCCCCTCCCCCCTTTTTATCTTGGCTTTTTGCTGTTGTTTTTTTGTTCAGAATGCTCTTGTGTGTTTCATGGATATTTTGTTCACTGTAAGCAATACTGTAAAACTTTCTCTGTCCTATCATACCGTGTTTCTACTGTACCTCCTGTAGTAAACAGTAAAGAAACAAAAACTTGTTTGCTTTTTACTGGAATGCTTTTGAATGTGAACATTACTGTACATGTGGACATACAGTTACCAACCAAGACATTTCTGGTGTCAAAATGGTGGATTGCATGTTTCGCATGCAAATACCTGTAAAACTGAAACATAAAAGTCTATGCAGTTATTGTAATGTCAATAATAGCCAGTATTTTGAAACAAGGTGTACTTTGATTGACTGCATGTACCTTGTGAGGTGAAAACAAGTGTTATTCTTTGACAGACTAATTTCATTTTGAGTCAGATTTATAGTGTTTTTGTACAGTTAGTGTGTGCAGAGAAAGATGTGTTCTATTTTGAAATGAAGAGTTAGTATATATTTAACAAAATGTATTTTTGAGAAGAAAATTATCCATTTGGCCAATTGTGTTTTGTAGGTGTGAGTCTGTGTTAAGAGTTTAGAAAAAGTATCTGAAGTATGGGTAGGCGCTTGTTAGCGATTGAAAAAAACTGTAATGCCTATAGCAAATGCCAAGCCAATTCATCACATGGTTCTCCAGAAATTGCACTCTGAACCCAAATTATCAATCTGCTGCTGTACAGTCTCTCTGGGGAATCATCAGTGTCATTAAAACACATCCCCTGGGAACCATGAATGGATGCCATTTGCTGCCAATCTCTATAGCGATGTTTTAATGAATACCACGAGATGAAAAAGAAGAATCAAAAAAGAACATTTGTTTTTACATTTTTGCCTGATTTTTGTTACATATGATGGGGAAAAAAACGAAAAAGGATTTAATAGTAAACACATTTTAAAGCCAATATATAAAGAAGTTTAAGCATGCCAAAATGTTGGACTTTTTAAACTAGTGAAAATACGTCACAAATATGACCTCATTGTTTATTTTTACTTTTTATGAATGTTACATGATCAGAAAAGAAATGAAAGAAAAGAAAAAGAAAAAATATTTTTCACTTTTACTAAAATTGCCAGATTAGAGCACATGAAAGAATTGAATTTAATATTTTATTGTCACCAATTTCACACGTGAACTTTTATATTATCGGTGCCAACCTATACAATATGGAAGTATTACTGTAAAAAAATATGTGCAAATAAGTTAATGTTTCTTCTTCATATTCATTTCATATATTTTAAATATTATGATCATATTTTTAACCATTTACTAATAATTTTTAAACCAGATAATATTTGGTTAATGGCCGTAGTATTGCCCCATTGGTTTAACCCTTTAAAGCCGGTCAGAGCGGGCACGCTCCGTTTTGCGTAACTATTTTTAAATCCCGGCAGCACTGCAACCACTTACAGTTTTTTACAGACGCTAGGACACATTTCTCAATACTTAAGTCACTTTTGCAAAACTCTTCACACATTTCTCCTAACTGACCCTCAGCCTGGCAAAGCAGTTCATTTCACATTCAAAATGCACTACAACTACCAAAACACTTCATTCAGGTCTCAAATGAACACATTCCTCCAGAACACTAGCAAAGGTTGACAGCCGACAAACACACTTTGTCACCCACAAAACAATGACCTAAAAAACACTAACAACATGTAGCATTACACAGTGTTTTCCTGTGTAAAACAAGGACACATCTCTGTTTATAATTTCAATATATGTTACTGGAATGAATCAGACATCATGCATTTATGTTTATGTATTTTTATTTTTTTGCACTAAGTAATCCCAAAATACAAGAATTTGTATACACACCATCCACTGATACACATACAATAGTAATGCTAATCTACTCGGTCTCCTCCATTTGGCCACAGGTTCTCATCCACATCACATCTTATGTCATCTAGGGTAATACACCTAGGAAAGAATCTTCTGGCATGCCAGAATTGAAGGAGTTGAAAAATTGAAGGAGTAACAACTGTGTAGATGTTCATCCACAATGAGAATCAGCTGTGGCTGGTTAAACTGCATTGTTAGATTTAAAATATGTTTCAATAAAATATTGCCGTTGGATTTTGCTGTCTTTTCAAGTTTTGCATTGTGTTATTGTTTTGGCCATAAGTTTAACAGTTTTGAAAACAGTATGTAAGCACATGCAAAATGTCCTGTCCTTACAAAGCTTTTTGGCAGTTGTTGTGTCTGAGTGAGAAGATGATTCATGAAATTTGAGAGATGTAGTCATTGAATGCATTTTGAGCCAAGACAATGATAACTGGTCCTCAGTAGGGCTGGGTATCGTCACTGATTTCTAGAATCGATTCAATTCCGATTCACGAGGTCCCGAATCGATTCGATCCACGATTCGATTTAATTCGATTCGATTCGATTTAAATCTGGGAAATTTTGACAGTCAGAGATATAATTCAGATCAGGACATTTACATATTTTTGTATCTATAAAAAGGAAGCTGACACTCTCAAGACTTTATCCAAGGTGTGAGCATCACAGCAGATGCCTTTGTGTCAAAGTAGCTGAAGATAAAACACAGAAAAACATGTAGGTGATTTTCCTGGCCTGGGATTTTATAAAAATATTCTGCAGTACATCAAAAACGAAAGAAAACCATTAATTAATCAACATTACCTCTGACGTTACAGCGGTTTTATTAGAGACATGGCTAAGCATTTTGCATTTTGAATAATTTTAAAAAGTTTCAATTTGTTCAGTATTGAACAGCAGAAATGAGGTTTTCTTTTCGGAAGAATGTAAAAGGGGAAAAAACAGCGGCCGACAGCGCTGTAAGCAACAGTAGACTTGTGTAACAAGCAAGCGAATAATGAAGAAAGCGAAACTGTTCGAGAGAGAGGGGGAGGGGGGAGAGAGAGGGGGAGGGAGAGAGGGAGAGAGGGAGAGAGAGAGAGCTGCGCATCGCAATGGAAGCAAAACAGTAAAAGAGTGAATTCATGACAATGTTTATGTGAAGCGTTTGGATCTTCTTTTGCTGCTGATTCGGTCAATATTGTTTGGAGAGAGATCAAACTAACAGCTTTAGAATCAGCGCATAAAGGGCGTGAACACAAAGCGCGGACCCGGATCAGCGAGCTGTCGGCTTTCAGCCCCGACTGTGAGAAAGGCGACATCTAACTGATTCTGATCCGCGGGTCGCGCTGTGTGTTTAAGTCTATGTGCAGAATCCCTGTACCTGCTCTCATTTACTGTTTGGTGGTTCTTGAAATTTTGTGAGATGTCACCAGAGATTCTGGCATTTCGGACAAAATAAATTTATATTAAAAAATCGATTCAGGATTTTAATGAATCGATTTTACGTTATCCAAGCCAGAATCGATTTTAATCGATGAATCGATTATAAAAACCCACCCCTAGTCCTCAGTTTAGCCCACATAGACTCCTGTTGTGCTCACTGTGTGAGGAGTTTTGCAAACGTGACCTAAGTATTGGGAAATGTGTCCTAGCGTCTGTAAAAAACTGTAAGCTAGCGCAATAATTTTTTTTTGCATATGAAACTGGAGGAGTTGTACTTACATCTTATGCCATCAGCTTGTCCTAAGTCACAGTTTCCTTTCACATATAGCTTTGCAAAAACTGCATAAACAGCACTTGCAGGAACAAAAACATAATATTCCAGAAACACACTTTGCCGATCCGATCAGCTGTTCATAACACTTCCTACGTCCATCAGCGCGAACTATCGCATGTCCGCCATGACCTACCATAAACCGGAAGTGGTGTCATTTTGCGGAAATGTAGTTTTTTACCATGAGTCTTATGAGCCTATACTGGTGTTTTTAAAAGTTATGTTTGACTTTATGACTTTCTGTGTCGTTTCTGGGATGCTTAGGACTCATATTGCACTGCTGGAAATAGTTTATTTTGATGCATATGCTGTTTTTTTGCAAATTTGCATTATAATATTCATTTTCGTTTTTCCTGCAGTATATAAAAATTGGTGTGTTTCAAAAATAAAACTATGAAGACACTTACAATAAATTTCCTGTGGTGGGAAACTATTTTGTGCAACTTTTTTGTATTTACAGTTTTGAGGGATAAGCCTCTTAAACTTCTCTAACTAGAAATATATGTTAAAAAAACAAAAACGATTTTCAATTTTTTTTGTAGTTTATTGCACTTTTTTGCAACTTATGTAATTACTATGCACTTAATGCATGCATATTATTAAAATTTGGGCTGTAATGGTTGTATTGATGTATATCAACCTGAAATGCTCCCAAAAATGGCTCCACAGAATGTAAAAATATAATATAAGCTCTGGCGGACTTGGTTCTATGATAGGTCTTAAAGGGTTAAATGCCAGTCAAAAGTATTGACTCCGTGGTATAATTCTCAAACACGTACCCTAAAGCAGATGACTTGTAATCTGGAGAGGAAATGGCGTGTCACAAATTTAGAGGATCATCATTTAGCCTGGAGAAATAGTTTGCTGCTTTATAAGAAAGCCCTCCGCAAAGCCAGAACATCTTACTATTCATCACTGATTGAAGTAAATAAGAACAACCCCAGGTTTCTCTTCAGCACTGTAGCCAGGCTGACAAAAAGTCAGAGCTCTTTTGAGCCAACAATCCCTTTAACGTTAACTAGTAATGACTTCATGAACTTCTTCACAAATAAAATTTTTATCATTAGAGAAAAAATTACCAGTAATCATCCCACAGATGTAATATTATCTACAGCTACTCTTAGTACCATTGATGTTAAGTTAGAAAGATCAATTAGAGAAAAAGAGTCTGAGTTAACTTCAATAATTACTTCCTCCAAGCCATCAACGTGTCTTTTAGACCCCATTCCTACAAAACTGCTCAAAGAAGTCCTGCCATTAATTAATTCTTCGATCTTAAATATGATCAACCTATCTCTAATGATCGGCTATGTACCACAGGCCTTCAAGCTAGCTGTAGTTAAACCTTTACTCAAAAAGCCATCTCTAGACCCAGCAGTCTTAGCTAATTATAGGCCAATCTCCAACTTTCCTTTCATATCAAAAATCCTTGAACGAGTAGTTGTCAAACAGCTAACAGATCATCTGCAGAGGAATGGTTTATTTGAAGAGTTTCAGTCAGGTTTCAGAGCTCATCACAGCACAGAAACAGCTTTAGTGAAGGTTAAAAATGATCTTCTTATGGCCTCTGACAGTGGACTCATCTCTGTGCTTGTCCTGCTAGACCTTAGTGCAGCATTCGATACTGTCGACCATAATATCCTATTAGAGCGATTGGAACATGCTGTAGGTATTACAGGTACTGCACTGCAGTGGTTTGTATCATATCTATCTAATAGACTCCAATTTGTGCATGTAAATGGAGAGTCCTCTTCACACACTGA